TAGTGTTTACTTTTCATTTATACGTTCTCCCAAATTTGACTTCCTGCTTTGTGTGGAGCATTTCTGTTGTGTCAACAGAAGGACAGTTACCTTGCTGTGGCTGGGGATTTGGCCTGCAAAACTGTCCAGGCTCACCCCCCGCATCAGGCCCCAGCAGACCAGACCAGGCCAAAATGGGGTCGCTGAGCTAACCGAACGTTGAAACGGGCAGTTTTCTAGTCAACCTGATAAGGACGTTCCTTCTGTTTTAACCCTATGAGGAAAGAACCGATTTTGCTGGCATTGTGGCGCAGTAGGTTAAGCTGCCAACTGAGATGCCAGTATCTCATGGGCACGGGTTCCTGTCCTGCCTGCTCCACTTCCAGTCCTGCTTCTTTTCAGTGGCCTGGGGAAAGCAGTAGAAGATGGCCCAAGGGCTTGGGCCCCTGCCACCCACATGGGAGACCAGAATGAAGTTCCTGGCTTCTCTCTGGCCCGGCCCTGGCTGTTTGAAGAGTGAACCTATGATTGAATGGAAGTATCTCTCTCTGTCTCTCTGTCTCTCTGTCTCTGCCTCTGCCTCCACTTCTGCCTCTACTAACTCTGCCTTTCAAATAAATAAGTAAATTTTTTTTGTTTCAAATCCCTCCTGTGAATAATTTTAATTATCTGAGAGATTGATTGTGTTGTGGTAGAAATAATGGCACATATGTCTATGGGGAACCTGACCATTTATATTTATAGATAGTTTACCTTAAACCCAACCAGCAGGAATTTAGATTCCAGAGTCATCCTCAGAGTAGCATGATTGGGTAACTTTTGGGTCTTTTAAAAAAAAAAAAAGATTTATTTTGTTTATTTGAAAGACAGAGTTATAGAGAGAAGTAGAACCAGAGAGAGGGAGGTCTTCCATCTGCTGGTTCACTCCACAAAGGGCCCCAATGGCCAGAGCTGAGCTGATCTGAAGCCAGGAACCAGGAGCTTCCTCTGGATCTCCCACATGGGTGCAGGGGCCCAAGGACTTGGGCCATCCTCCACTGCTCTCCCAGGCTCATTAACAGGGAGCTGGACCGGAAGTGGACCAGCTGGGACTTGAATCAGTGCCCATATGGGATGCTGGCACTGCAAGCTGCGGCTTTAACCTGCTGCACCACAGCGCCGGCCCTGGGTCTTTGTTCTTCCCTCAACCTCCTTGTTTTGCTAATACGGATGGTACATCTTCAAGTTATTTAATGGCTTACTGTATCTGCAGTATTCTTAGAGGATCAAGACTCTTTTGATGCTTGTAGTTTGATAGTTTAATCTGAAATTAGTTTGAGTTTTATCAGTTTTCTAAGGTTCTTTGAACATTTTCACCTACAGGTTTGAGATTTCTAAATTTGCAATTTTCCCTTCCAATATTTTTGAAGTCTTGTATATTAAGAGAGGACAGAATTCTTTTTATATTAGTTTTGGTTCTGTTGTTTTTAAGCCAGTTTCTTAATGTCTCCTACTTATTATCCCATCCCTTATTAAATTGTAGCCTTAACCTTTATGAGGTGCGTAGGTGTAGATTTTTGGGGTTCATTTTGGGAATCCTTTGGGCTCGATCTGGATGTCCATTTCTCTGGCTGGCCAGGAATTTCAGTGTTTCTAAGCTTTCTGGGCCTCTTCTCCTTGTGGAACTTTGCTAGTGTTGTCCTGGTCCCCTACATAGTGTCACACAGAGTCCCTGGGCTTTCTTCACTTGCTTCAGTTCTTTTCTCTCACTGAATAATTTCCTGCGATATGTCTTCAGGCTTGCTGGTGGTTTCTTCCGTGAATTCCTCCTGTGCACTTCTCTGGTAGGACTTCAGCATCATGGTTTGCGTTTGGTAGTTTTTAGTGTTCTCTTTGTTAAAATTCTCATGTTCATGCGTTATTCTGATCTCGGTGAACATCTTCAGGGTTTTGGCTTCTCTGGCAGGTAAATCATATACCTCTGTTTCATTAGGGTCAGCATCTGGGGGTTTATCTTGTTTATTTGTTTGGAACCCTGTTTCTTCATTTTCCTTGATTCTGTGTCGATTTGTGTGCATCAGTCAAAATGCCGCCTTCCCCAGTCCTGGAGAAGACCTTACTAATCAGCCTGACCAGAGCTTCTGGGAGCTTCTACAACCTTTGTGCTGGCCCAGCTTGCTGTCCTTGCCCTTAGCAGCCTCTGGGAATCTCGAGTCCACCAAGTCCTGCCAGTGCTCTGGGACACAGACCACAGCCAACTGGCGTTCCCCAGAGAAGCTGGGGCCATGGTTTTTGACTCACTCGCCCTGTGCTGAGCCAGGGTCGACTGCCGGCCTGAGCCCCCATTTCTGCTGACGTGGTTCCCTGGGGGCGCTTAAGTCAGGCGGACAGAAGTCAGTCCTGTTGTAGCCCCAGGAAAAGCTGGGTCACTGAGCACACAGCGCGCTCTGCCTCTCCCAGGAGCTGCACGGATTCATCCTGACTGTGGTGCTGTGCACTTTATTTATTTATTTATTTTTAGGTTTATTTTATTTATTTGAAAGTCAGAGTTAAAGATGGAGTGGCAGAGGGAATCTTTCATTCGCTGGTTCACTCCCCAAAGGGCTGCAACAGCCAGGGCTGGGCCGACAGAAACCAGGAACCATGAGCTTCTTCTGGGTCTCCCCTATGGGTGCGAGGGCCCGAGCACTTGGGTGGTCCCCTGCTGCCTTTCCAGGCACACCAGCAGGGAGCTGGATGCGAAGTGGAGCAGCTGGGACTCGATGCCGGTGCCACAGGCCATGGTTTAACCTGCCACACCACAGTGCAGAGCCTGTGACAGTCTTCAGTCTTCTTCCAGCCGTCTGTGGCCGCTGTTAGCTCAGCTCTAAACTGTGCTTTAATTCCGTTTACCCAGTTCACGGGTCAGCCTTCAGGAAAGGACGATTCTGTGGGATGCTAAGGGACTAGTGATGGCAGTGCTGGGGGGACAGTACTGGCTACGCAAGGGGCAGGGCTCAGCGGTTTCTTCTCTGCCTCTTGCGAGAGACTCTTTCGGGGTGCAGGTTTAAAGTCTAGAATTGCATTTTGAGGCCTCAGCGTATCAGTCTGACAAGGCTAGCCAGTGTGCTTTTGGTTCTTTTTAACAGGCAGAGTTAGTGAGAGAGAGAGACAGAGAGAAAGGTCTTTCTTCTGTTGGTTCACCCCCCAAATGGCCATTACAGCTGGCGCGCCACACCGATCTGAAACCAGGAGCCAGGTGCTTCTCCTGGTCTCCCATGGGGTGCAGGGCCCAAGCACTTGGGCCATCCTCCACTGCCTTCCCGGGCCACAGCAGAGAGCTGGACTGAAGAGGAGCAACCGGGACAGAATCCGGCGCCCGACCAGGACTAGAACCCGGGGTGCCGGCGTTGCAGGTGAAGGATTAGCCTAGTGAGCCGCGGCGCCGGCCGGGTCTTTTTCTGCTTTCTTTCCGGAGCTGCCCTGTGTCTGACATGCCCCACATTCCCCGTAACAGCTGAGGTGACTGCAGATCGTCCTTGGAGGACCTGTGCCATGTAGCCCAGTAAGCACAGTAATTTAGGAAAATACTAGCAGTGCGTGTAGGCCACAGGCGTGCTGCCTGGAGAGATTTGTAGCTTTGACTTTGATTCACAGGGGAGAGCCACTGTGCTGGTAGGTGTCTAGTGATGCTTATGAAGTAGTGGCTAGGGCTTGATTGTCTAGTCAAGCTGATTATTAGTCTGGGAGTCTGGCCCCAGGGTGTAGGAACGAAGGGCGGGCTGTGTCTTCAGAAAGGCGTGGCGTGTTTCTTTTTCACCATCTACTGGACCGTCTCCTACAGCGGCTTATAGGTAACCGGCACTCAGCTGTGTCAGCTCCACACCTGGCCTTCTTGCTCTCCGACTCAGTGAGGGGTGGGTGCTTTCCCAGAGTGATGATTTACCCCTTCTTTTTGTGTACCACTTGGAGGGCTGTCTGCCTTGTTCTGTCCAGTTAATGTCAGTCAGGGTTACTTTGTGTGAAAGAGTTAGAGAGGGCGAGGCATAGAGAGAAAGGTCTTTGTTTGCTGATTTACTCTCCAGATGGCTGTAACAGCCAGGGCTGCGCCAGGCTGGAGCCCGGAGCCCCATCCAGGTTTCTCATGTGGGTGCAGGGGCCCAACTACTCGGGCCATCTTCTGCTGCTTTCCCAGAAGTGGAGCAGCCGAGACTGGAACCTGTGCCCTTAGGGACGCCAGCGCTGCAGGCCATGATGTTGCCCGCCGCCGTGCCACAGTGCTGCTCCCTGCTGGTTGCTCTCTTTTCTTCCACCTCCTACGCCGCTGCTGAGTTTCTGTGAAATTTTGATTGCATCTCCCTCCTGCTAAAACGTCATTGTCTTCCAAACACAAGCACGCCTGTCTGTCATCATACGTGTGATCTCTTCTTCCCGTTTGTACCCTGATTCTTCTGCAGTAATTTTGTACCTTATTAAGGCTTATGTCCTCTCTCCTGCAGCCTGTCCCGAGCCCTCACGTCCCCTGATCCTCCTCTAGCATCCGGATCGTTCTGTCCATACTCCCTAGCTTTTACTTTTCCAGCTGTAGTTCATCTGTTCACATGCATTTCTTTCTAGACTAAGAATGCTGCGGCACGGACGGCAACTAGGAGTATGCAGATGCCTACACAGTATTTGGGTGGCTGGAGCGCCTTTGTTTTGCTACAGAAGAGTTTTATCTGTTGTCATCTTACCCAATATATGAGCGTACTTCAAAAAATTCATGCAAAATGGCACTTAAAGTTTATTTTTATGCCAGGACAGAGTTGGACTATGCAGAGTTGGCTGTGCTTAAGATTATAGAATTTTATTGATTTAGTAACAAGTTCTGTGATCTGAGTTTCAGGAAAATGTTTATTTAGGGTTAAGAGACCCTTGGACACACTGAATAATTAACTATTTTTGACATTGTTATGTACTTACTGTATGTCAGCTGTTGGGCATTCAGACATCAGTGATAATATCTTACTGCCAAGTAGTTCATATTTTTAAATGCAGATTCTAGAGCTTTCTCTCTCTCTCTCTTTTTTTTTTTTGAGGACCCACTGCATAATTTATTTCTGTTATTCTCAAGATTAACAATTTCTGAAAATCACTTTTGAGATTTACTGCCTGTTCGGCCTGCTGTGGCAGAGTCCCAGACCAAGGAAGAGCGGGCTCGGTCTGGTGAGGACTGTGCCTTCTGGTGAAGGGAGCAGCGGGTCTCTGTGCCTCCCTCCCTAGGGAGGGGCCCTCCGCCTGCCCTGCCGGGGGCTTCGCTGTTGCATTAGGGATTCGGTTTTGCAGGGAAGATCATACTTCCCCTCTGAAGGTGCGGTAACTAAGTATCCTGAAATAAAGAGACCACAGGCGTGCAACATAGGAAAAGGCATTCAGGGTTGTTAACGGGCATATGCACAAGGAAGCCATACAAAATAATGAAGCTCAAAGAAGGGCCAGGTGGTTGAGGCTCGACTGCCTTCTTCACTGGGGAGACAGAGTGGGCGGCTTCGACAATTTCAGGGTAGCAAACATTTTCGGGGGAGAACTTGAGGCCAGAGAACAGATAGCTGGGACAGAGTTCCTCCGGGCTGCCTCTGTGATAGGACTTAAATCTTCCTTGGTTGATGACGTTCCATGAAGAGTTGCAGGCAGCTGTCTTCCTCTTCGGCCGAGAGGGTTTTTAGGTGGATGAGGGACCTCAGGGGCATGCTTGCCCCCCACCCCATCTGCCCCCCCAGGTGCTCTCAGTTTGACGTCCTGTTATTTCCTGAGCCCCAGCCATCTCAGCGTGAGTTTGGGGTTAGAGGGCAACGTGTGCATTCAGATCCTTGTTCTTCCTGTGCTAATACTAAAACTGTTTCTGTCTCCTCTTTATCGCTAGCCATGTCTCAGGCTGTGCAGACAAATGGGACTCAGCCATTAAGCAAGACATGGGAACTCAGTTTGTATGAACTACAACGAACACCTCAGGTAACGGAAGGATGGCGTAGGGCATATGAGACATGTACACTGGGTCAGTGGGCATTGGTGCCGCTTTAGAGCCAGGGAGGGTGCGTGGCGATGGAGAAGGGGGCAGGACTCAGCATCACTTCAGCAGGAGAGGTGTGTCTTAGGTTCTACTTTGTAGAGAGGCGTTTTTAGACACGTAAGATGCCATGTGGTCTCACTGTGTGCTAACGAGCTGAAGAAACTGACCCCTGTGTGTGGAAAGACAGAGGTTTTGAGCTGTAAAGTTGATTTTAAAATCCTATTACATTATTTATAAATAAGAGAATACTTTTATTGGATCTTAAATTATCTTAGTGGGAGTATGAAATATAATTTATAAAAATGGTATAATTTTTTAAAAAAGATATATTTATAAGGCAGAGTTACACAGAGGGAAACAGAGAGAGAATGAGAATGAGAGTGAATCTCTCCTGTCCACTGGTTCACTCTCCAAATGGTTGCAGTATTTGGTACTGGGCCAGGCCGAAGCCATGAGCTTCTTCCAGATCTCGCATATGGGTGCGAGGGCCAAAGCACTTGGGCCATTTTCTGCTGGCACATTAGTAGGCAGCTGGATTGGAAGCAGAGCCGCTGAGACTTGAACCAGAGCCCATTTGGGATACTTGCATTGCAGGCAGAGGCTTAACTTGGTGCACCACCAAGACAGCCCCCAAAATGGTATAATTTTTATATGGAAGAATTCTTAGAGTTCATTTAGTCCCAGTGTCCTCATTTTGCAGGTAAGAAAACAATATTAAATAATCATTTAGAGGCACATAATGAATTATTAAAGATTAGAACTTGGGAAAATGGCTGTAAATTCAGTGTCTTTTTACAAAGATTATACCAAGCTAATTTTCCAGTTAGTGTCTTTTTTTTGTTTTTGTTTTAAATTTATTTATTTATTTGAAAGTCAGAGTTACACAGAGAGAGAAAGAGAGGCAGAGAGAGAGGTCTTCCATCTGCTGATTCACTCCCCAGTTGGCCTTAGCGGCTGGAGCTGTGCTGATCTGAAGCCAGGAGCCAGGAGCTTCTTCTGGGTCTCCCATGTGGGTGCAGGGGCCCGGGGAACTGCTTCTACTGCTTTCTCAGGCCATAGCAGAGAGCTGGATCGGAAATGGAGCAGCCGGGACTCCAACCGGCACCCATATGGAATGCCAGTACTGTAGGTGGCAGCTTTACCTGCTATGCCACAGCACCAGCCCCAACCACTTGGTATCTTTAAAATATATAGTAGATTATCTTTAGTGTTAATATAACAACATTTATATAACGCAGTGGTGATGGGGTTGAGCTAAGTTAGGGAAGATTATAGCAAAAATAAGATTGGTGAGTTGAAAAGGGGGCTGGGTGACAAGTACATTGATGTTCTTTTTTTTGCCATCTTCAATAATTTGTTTGACCTTATCTTTAAAAAAATTAAGTGGTATTTAATTTTAAAGTGACTTTTTTCCAGGAGGCAATAACAGATGGCTTGGAAATCGTGGTATCGCCCAGAAGTCTCCATAGCGAGTTGATGTGTCCGATCTGTTTGGACATGCTGAAGAACACCATGACCACCAAGGAGTGCTTGCACCGTTTCTGCGCGGACTGCATCATCACGGCCCTGAGAAGCGGGTGGGTTAAGTGCGGCGTGCCAGGTGCTTAGCCCGCAACAGTGCCCCCGGGATGGGAGGAGCACCTTCTTCACATGGATCTGACTGAGAACTGGAACTTTCTAAAGTCTAGGTTCAGTCCCTGAGGAATCTTTATTTTGAAACAGTTTGGCTTTATGTAATTTTAGAAGCTTTATACGGGATGAGTGTTTGTTTTGAGGAAATTATGAAACCATGCTTTTCCAACCTAAACACATAAAATAACATCCTTTTGAAAATGCTGTTTCAAGAAAAGAATTGAATGGCATAGGGAAATTTTTTAAAAAAGATTTATTTATTTATTTGAAAGAGTTACACAGAGCAGAGGCAGAGAGAGAGAGAAAGAGAAAGTCTTCCATCTGATGGTTCATTCCCCTATTGGCTGCAATGGCCAGAGTTGTGCTGATCTGAAGCCAGGAGCCAGGAGCTTCTTCTAGGTCTCTCACGTGGGTGCAGGGGCCCAAGGACTTGGGCCATCTTCCAGTGCTTTCCCAGGCCATAGCAGAGAGCTGGATTGGAAGTGGAGCAGCCAGGACTCCAGCCGGCGCCCATATGGGATGTTGGCGTTTCAGGCCAGGGTGTTAACCTGCTGCGCCATAATGCTGGCCCCAAGGCCGGGGGGGAATTTAACGTAGGAAAAAAAATCTGGGTTTGTATTTCTTAAACAATCATACAAATTATTGAGAAGTATTCAGAAGTATTTTGGTAAGTATCTAGAGTGTCTAAGATTTCCAAAATCTTGCTTATCTACTTGTCAGATTTTTAAGGAAATTGGGGTTAATCAGCTTAAATTCCTGTGACTTATTTGTATAAGAAAACTGGGTATTCTTGTCTTTAGCCAAAGATGGCATTGTTTACTTTTCTTTCTCCTGCTTTTATTTAGCAACAAAGAATGTCCCACCTGTCGGAAAAAGCTAGTTTCCAAAAGATCACTCAGGCCAGATCCGAACTTTGATGCTCTCATCAGCAAAATTTATCCGAGTCGTGATGAGTATGAAGCGCATCAGGAGAGAGTCTTAGCCAGGATCAACAAGCACAACAATCAGCAAGCCCTGAGTCACAGCATCGAGGAGGGACTGAAGATCCAGGCCATGAACAGGTGCGTGCGGAAGAGCCCGCGAGGGCACTGCTCTTGTGACCCTTCAGTAGATACTGGAGGTAACTTTTGGAAAAATGAGACTTGAACAAAGTTGTGCACGATTACCTTTTCGAGCAGGTGTACCATACACTTCCGGGAATAGCAGGGATTCCACGTGGGAGGCCAGGGTTTGCTCTGTACCTGCTTCTCTTCGCACACTGCCATTCTGTTTTTTCCTCTCCCTTTGGAGCAAAGAGTTTGCTGTGTTTATATCTGATTCTTTCCTTTTTTTCTTTAAATTTGAAAGGCAAAGAGTCAGAGGCAGATACACAGAGGTCTTCCAGCCCTGGTTCACACTCCAGATGCCCACAGTAGTCGAGGCTGAGCTGGGCCAAAGCCAAGGAGCCTGGAACTTGATAAATGCCTGAGCCACCAGCTGCTGCTTCCCGTGTGTGCATTAGCAGGAAACTGGAATCAGAAGCAGAGCCGGCTGTGAGAGGCAGGCATCCCGCACAGCTTTTTAACAACTGCACCAAATGTCTCCTCTTCCCATTCTGTTTTGAACCCCCTCCAGTGAGACTTCGGCCCTCTCCACACCATTGTCGACCTTTGTCAAGGTTATCCCTGATTGCCACACTGTGCAACTGAGGCAGATTCTCGGACTGCATCTTTCTTAGCAGCATTTCTAACAATTTCTCCTTCTTCTTTGAATAGTTTTTTTTACTTAGTTTTAGCTAAGTGAACCATATTCATGGTTCCCTTTGTATGGCATTAATTATTTAAAAAAATTTTTTTTTATTTATTTGACAAATGTTAGACAGTGTGAGAGAGAGAGAGAGACAGAGAGAAAGGTCTTCCTTCCGTTGGTTCACCCCCCAAATGGCCATTATGGCCGGAGCTGCGCCATAAGTGAGGCTCCTCCGAAGCCAGGAGCCAGGTGCTTCCTCCTGGTCTCCCATGCAGGTGCAGGGCCCAAGCACTTGGGCCATCCTCCACTGCACTCCCAGGCCACAGCAGAGAGCTGGACTGGAAGAGGAGCAACCGGGACAGAATCCGGCGCCCATATGGGATGCCGGCGCCGCAGGCGGAGGATTAACCAAGTGAGCCATGGTGCCGGCCCTGGCATTAATTATTTTATAGGTTTTATTTCAATTTCCTTAACTGTTCAGGTGCAGTGCCTCAGTTCAGGGATGAGTTTTTCTTTCCCTCTCTCTTTTTTTTATTTATTTTTATTATTTATTTATTTATTTATTTATTTTTGACAGGCAGAGTGGACAGTGAGAGAGAGAGACAGAGAAAGGTCTTCCTTTGCCGTTGGTTCACCCTCCAATGGCCGCCGCGGCCGGCGCGCTGCGGCCGGCGCACCGCGCTGATCCGATGGCAGGAGCCAGGTGCTTCTGGTCTCCCATGGGATGCAGGACCCAAGTACTTGGGCCATCCTCCACTGCACTTCCCTGGCCACAGCAGAGAGCTGGCCTGGAAAAGGGGCAACCGGGACAGAATCCGGTGCCCCGGCCGGACTAGAACCCGGTGTGCCGGCGCCGCAAGGCGGAGGATTAGCCTAGTGAGCCGCGATGCCGGCCTATTTTTAAATTTATTTTATTTATGTATTTGAAAGGCAGAGTTACACAGAGGCAGAGATAGAGAGGTCTTCCCATCTGCTGGCCCACTCCCGAAAAGGCCGCAATGGTGGGAACTGGGCCGATCTGAAGCCAGGAGCCAGGAGCTTCTTCTGGGTCTCCCACGTGGGTGTAGGGGCCCAAGGACCTGGGCCATCTTCTACTGCTCTCCCAGGCCATAGCAGAGACCTGGATTGGAAGTGTAACAGCCAGGTCTTGAACCGTTGCCCATATGGGATATTGGCACTGCAGGTGATGGCTTTACCCACTATGCCAAAGGCTGGCCCCTTTTTCTGCTTTATTAGCCTGTCTCCACATGGTCTCTTTTCCTGCCTTTAATCATCTCCATGCTGACAATTTCCTAGAGCCATCTCTTGGATATCTGATGAGCACCTTAAACATAGTGTACTCAGGTTCTTACCCATGCTTCTCTTTATTCCTGTCTTGCCATTGATGGCAACTCCATTATTCTGCTTGCTTAAGCCAAGAGTTGGATTCACCCTTAAGTCTTTCTCTGGTTCCTCATATTACAGTCTGTGAATAAATAAGCATTTTTAGCTTTCCCTGTGGTATATCGAGATTACTCCAGGACATCGCTGTACTTTGACCAGTAGGCTCCCAACTGGTCTTTATCTGTATAGAATTTACATTGGAAGGATTTTAATGATTATTTAGTGTAGTCTTTCATCAAGAGCGAGAATTCCTTTGGCCAGAGGCTTTACAGGCAGGCCCTTGGTTTTGCTTGAACACTGCAGCGGTGGAGGCCTGTCCTGGGTCCTGGCATCTGTTGCACTTGATGACAGCTCCGTCCTTCTTCAAACACAGCAGGCGTGTTTCTGTTCTTTCCCTGGGTAATCCGTATGGCTTTCCTCAGGTGT